CAAGAGAAGAATAAACCCAAGTCTGTCTTCTTCCTATGAAATAGCTAAGAAATAAATCTTCCAAGTCAGTAAATACATTAACAGAATATGCCCTACATACACTTACTGAGATATTGTTTATGTAACTTTAGATAAAACCGCAAGTTTCATGATTCAAAAAGGTCAACCTGTTTCAACATATACAGTGAAAGAGATGACATATCAAACAAGGTGCGAATTGTTTTAAAGCTTTGTTCCCATGCATAAAATACCAAATTTAATAGCTTTGGTTTAATTCCACAGAAATCCTTTCACATGTTACAGTGAAACCACAGACATGAAAGGACAGACACCTTTCAGCAATAGAACAATTCTCCAGATCTTTATTTTGCTCCAAGAGCCACTTGCCTCTCACAATCCTACCTCAATGAGATTGAGAGCATTCAGTCACTTAAATCAAAAGCCTTGCATTTAAAATAAAGGGGTAAAAGTTTTAAAACAACACTCTTATCAAAGTGCATCTGTGTATCTGGTAGGAGCTAGAACTTAAAGCAAGCAGCCACAAAACAGTAGCTTTGTTCATGTTTCATATGTGTGGTCTCAATCCTGGTGAACAAGGGTGTAAAGGCCTTGCATGCCTCCTTGCATGCAAAAGGACCTAGAGATGAGCCACTCCCAAAGCATTCCTTCACAGACCAAAATCCAGGGCAGTAGAGAAACATAAGCAAACCATCAGACCTGCATGTATACAAGTAAGGCTTTTTGCCTTACTTTTTTTTCAAGTTGCTATTTCCTACCATGTCCTTTTGCAGAACAGAAGTTAATACAAAGAACTACAGTGCTGCCACCCCAACTAAGTATCTGCCTAGAAGCCAACTGGGACACCTACTACTAAACCAAAACTTGAATTCTGTGCAGGCATTTTACCATATCTCAGCCATAAAGACTCTGCTGCAGCACACCACAAAAGCAACACTTGCTCTGGCAGTGCAAGTTCCAGTGCAGAGGAAAAAGAGTCGATGAGTTGTTTTAGCCTTTTTAAAAATATATTTTTAGAAAATATATTTTAAATAAATATAAATATATTATATTCATTTATATTATAGATAATTATATAAAATATATTATATAAAAATATAAAACATATTTATATTTTAAATATAAAATATCTTTTCTAAAATATATTTTTAGAAAGGCTAGTACATTTTTCTGAAATACATTTTTGAAATCCCAATATATGACCAGAGATGTGTCAGGGGAGGTTGGATGTTAGGAAAAATTTCTTCACTGAAATGGAGGTCAGGTATTGGAGCAGGCTTCCCAGGGAAACAGTGAATCGCCGCCCCTGGAAGTGTTCAAAAAACTGTGTAGATGAGGCTCTGAGTGTCATGGCTTAGTGGCGGACTTGGCAGTGCTGGGGTAAACATTGGACTTGATGATCTTAAAGGTCTCTTCCAACCTAGTTGATTCTATGATTCTGAAACAGGCTCCACTTACCGGTTCTTCCACTTCTCCTGTGGCATGCTGGGCTTCAGCTTGTAAATCAATTGGTGGAGCATCTTCAACAATTCTCTGCACAGACATCTGAATAAACTCATCAAAAGAATCCAGCTGTTGCCTGACTAAACCCTTTTCATCAAAATAGGAGCTAAAGGAGAAAAAGTGCATGAATGGACAAGATAATTTAATTCACTTACTTCATACATCAACAAACTTAAGATGTATTTAGTACAAAACCTCCAAAAGCCATGAAATACAGTGCATACATACACTCACTTGCAGTGAGCACATACATTCACTTTTCCCAAGCTATGAGTTTTAGACACAGATGCTGAAAAACGTTTAACAATTCTCTCACTACTTGAGGACAGACACAACAAAGTGTCAGACTTGCTGCCACCTCTTGGCTAAGCCACGACAGTACACACACTCTACCTTGCATTTGAAGAGAAACATGACAAACCTCACTAAAAGTGGTTTCAGGTAAAGTTTTCAACAATGTATGTAAATTCTTTTGCCCTTACTAATTTTCCAAGTTGCTGTAAACTGAGTGCATGCCCCTAAGACAAGATAACAGATTTCTTATCTTGGAACCCCTCTCTTCCAGCCACATGAGATTCCCAGCTTCACTCCTCCAGATTTGCCTTAGCCTTTTTGTCATCTAGCTTCAACACAGCACAACCCAACTGCAAAAAATCAAAGCTTAACTTTGCAACCCCACATCTTAACTTTTGGTAGGATGATCTAAACATGTCTGCTGCATTAGCTCTGCCAGCAAGCTCCTCTACCTCACATTCCTGAAGCCAGCCAGGGAACCCACACTACCCCAGCTTCTGCCCATCACTGCCAGGATCTGTATTAAAAACTGCTAATAATTAGCTCCTACCAATAACTTCAGGCTTCCCCAAGAAGAGCAACACACTCTTGGCTATTATGCCATTACCACAGTGAATCCTGACAACAGCCTGGTATTGCGCACAGGAAAGGAGAAACAAAATAGACAACTTGTAACACAGAACAGCTGAGGCTGAAAGAGACCTCTGGAGATCATCTTGTCCTGTAACCGAATTCAAGAAATGTCAGCCAGAGCTGACTGTCCATGACCTTGTCCAGAAAACTTATGAATACCACCAAGGACGCAGACAGAGACCCCACGGCCCCTCTTGGCAACCCATGCCAGTGCTTGGTCACCTTCACAGTAAATAAAGTGATTCGTCATATGGAGTGAGGTGCAGCGTCAGCTGAAGAACTTGCCTTAGTTACCTCCCACCTGACTGAAAGCAAAGGTAGCATTCCACACTAGACTGCAAAAGAAAGGATCTCCTTCTGCCTCCAAAGTTTCTCACCTCTGCTCTCCATCCAGACTGCTTATGGGATCATCCCCACAGACCTACTGGTTTGCTTGCTACTGCTCTTCTAAGACACCCATCATATACATTTCATAAATGATACAATTAGCAAAAGAAACACTTTTCACTCTGTTCCACACAGCATGCCACTCCTTAACAGTCACAAGAAGCTGCACGTCCTGGATATTCATGTCTCGCTAGGAAAACATTGACATGGTGAAACAGCCAAGTACTGATTTCCTAACACCAGCATCAGCTCTGAGAATAGTGGGCAAAATAATACACTTCATATGGAATCGAGATCACTTCTTCATTCAAAAACAGTGCACCCCACTGCATGTCAGCAGGACCTCCGAATCCCTAAGGTCAACCCTGTTGTAAGCTGTTCTGCTCAAAGCCCTTCTCCCTGTGTGCTTTATCTCTGGGACAAACACATAAATGTATTGGCTTTCACAAATCATAGGTGTGGTTATGTGGATATAACTGTACCAGTTTACAAAAACAGAAACAAAGCTCGCTAAAGACACAAGATTAGACAATAAGTTAAAAAGGGCCAGAACTCTTGAGCAAAACAGAGTCACACAGCAAAAGAATTTGTAAAGGTAAAAGGGGGGGGGGGGGGGGGAGCTTGATATAAGAAAAGCTAGTGCCTGAAAAACATAAGTACTTTTTAGCTTAACTTCGGTTGTAGAAAGAGAACAGTGTTTATGTTGTGAGTCTGTGGAATGTAGTGGTAGTGGCTGCACTAAACAGGAGTTAATCGTTTCACACTAGTCTTCTAAAGTATCTTTAGTTTTAAAGAACAATGTTTGTGTTGTAAGTCTGTGGTGAGATAACAGGATTTAGTGGCCCCACTAAACATGCATGAGTTATTTCACACCATCCTTCTACTTATCAGTTAGTTTAGAGACAGAGCCTCCCAAACATCTGCTAGACTGGGATACTCCTTGTCTGCCTATCCTGCAGTAAATTTTGTAGGAAAGTCACACTTTTAAATCTTTGCTAGTTATCAGAAGAATTACAGATATGGCTGGTTTCAGCTAGTTGCGTGATTAATGGGATGTCCAACTGTGCTAACGGTGAAGAGTACACTGTGAGGAAGACTGCTTACTTCATCTTGAAGACCCCTACTCACAAGAGGAAGACTGCTTACTTCATCCTCAAGACCCCTGCCCACAATCACCGCAGAGCGGTGCACAGACGCCAAGAGGAGGAGACTTATAAGTTCCGGGAGTTAATTATAATATTCTCTGCCATATGCAGGAATTATAAATATGTATGTAACTAATGTAAAAGCAAAAGTATATAAACCTATAACAAATGCTAATCACTCGCACCTCTGGCTATGGTCATGCGCCCAGCGCTGTTGCTTTTGCTTTACTGACTTTGTCCCTCAGTAAAACCTTGTTATCTTGTTTAGAGGAAAGAGTTTGTATTTCACATCTCTGAACGTTCTAAAACACAGTTTCACACAGCCAGTCCTGCAGCTTCCACAATATGTTGCCAGTGAACTGGATGTCACCTGTAAGACCAAGAGCACCTGTACTGAAGCGCTAAGAACAGTGAGTTTCAGCAACTCACCTAATAACAATCCAGCAGGCTTCTTGCCACAAGTCGGGGGTGATTTCATCATCGTCTTCATCATATTGCATATCTGCGGGGAAGCACGACATTTAAAACAGACCCCACTCTCCCGGGCTCTCCCCATCTCTGCTCACACAAGGCTGGCACACGAGGACGCCCCGGCAGGGCCTCTGACCACCCGAGGGCCGCAGGAGCCTCCGGAAGACCCCACTGGGCCCGGAGCGACCCTACCCCACCGCCGCCTCCCGCGGGCCCTGCGGCCCCCGCACGCCCCTCGCCGGGCTGCAAAGGGGAGAAGGCCCGGCGGGGAACGGCCTGCACCTGCAGCACACTCACCCTCGTCCGCGTCGTACATGGTGACGGCGGGAAGGGCCGCGGGCGGCAGCTATGGGAAAGCGAGAAACGGAAGGCGCGGCGGGCCTCAGCACCGCAGGCCCAGCCAGCGACAGCGGCGGGAAGTCAGTGGCGCGGCGCTGACACGTCACGTCGCGTCACGTTGGCATCCCAGGAGGCAGCGAGGAAACCGGCCGCGCATGCGCAGCCGGTAAACGTGCTGCTTCCGTCGCTCCTGCTCCGAGGGGTGGTTTTCGCTATGCTCCGCTTGGCCCCGGTGCTCCTGGGTCGCCTGGCCCGCACCCAGCCCTGGGCGCCGGTGCTGCGCCGCGGGGGCACAGCGAGCGGCGAAGAGGAGCTGTTTGTGTTCCCCGAGTACGAGCCGGAGCCGAGTGAGGCAGCGCCCGCAACGGCAGTGGCAACAGCGGCTGCGGCAACGGCAGCAACAGAAGCGGCAGTTCCCCTTCCCCGTCGGGAGCGAAAGCTGGACAGGGAGCGGCGGAAGCGGGGCTCGGGGGTGGTGGAGGCGGGGCGGCCCGATTCGTCGGTGCCGCTGAGCGGCCTGAGCTGCTCAGGCTGCGGGGCAGAGCTGCACTGCCGCGACAGCGCGGCGCCGGGCTTCATGCCGGCGGAGAAGTTCCGGAGCCTGTCGGAGGGCCCGGACGGCGCGGCAGGGTTGCGCGGAGCCGTGTGCCAGCGGTGCTGGATGCTGGCCCACTACGGCCGGGCCTTGCGGCTGGAGCTGCCGGCCGAGCAGCACCGGCTGGTGGTAAGCGCTGCCCTGCGCCGCCCCCTTCGCCACGGCCGCGGCCCGCTCCTCCTCTATCTTCTCGACGTGCTGGAGCTGCCCGACCCGGTGCTGTCCCAGCTGCCGGCGCTGCTGGGCCCCGACGTCCCTGCCGCCGGGCTGCTGGTGGTGGGTAACAAGGTAGATCTGCTGCCCGCCGACTCCCCCGGGCACCTGGGGCGGCTGCGGCAGCGGGTGGCGGAGGCCTGCGCCCAGGCCGGCCTGCGGGGAGCCCCACTGGTGGACATCCGCCTGGTGAGCGCCAAGACGGGCTTTGGCATGGAGGGGCTGATCAGCCGGCTGCAGCGCTCCTGGAAGTGCGCCGGCGATGTGTACCTGCTGGGCGCCACCAACTCCGGCAAGTCGACGCTCTTCAACACCCTGTTGCGCTCCGACTACTGCAAGTCTCGTGCTCCCGATATCATCGACAGGGCCACCGTTTCCTCCTGGCCAGGTCAGGGCTGATGCTGTCCCTGTTGCAGTGGGGGTCTGGTGCTTACCTCGGGGCTGCCCTCCTTGTCACAGAACCTGTCACCCTGGAGCATTGCCACTGTGGGCAGTGAGCTGCAGTGCTGTAATGTGCTTTGGCTTGTTGTCTTCCTCAGGGTACCGAGGGTGCTCGGTATGCACGGAGGGTGCTCTGCATCATGTAGCTCTAAGGGGGCTGGCAAGCTACAGCCAGCCTGTGTGCTCCCTTGCCAGTGGGGACAGCACCCGATCTTTTTCTTGCCATCCCCCTATCAACCAGGGGTACACGCTGGTCTAGAGAGACGGGGAGGTGGACTGATGAGCACCTGTACACAAAACCAAGCTGCCTGGAGGTGGAACGTGCCTGGGGTATACTAAAACAGTATTGGCGCTATTTGGCTTTGAGACCCTTTTCATCAAAGTAATGAAAGCACATATCAAGCAGATGGATGGCTTGTTTCTGCTGCCTTGGCTGCAGAAGCTGATACTATGGGAGCAACTGGCATTCCACCTCCAACTTTGTGTTACTGGATTTCACCCAAAAGTTGGAGAACTAATTTTGATGTTTTTTTTTTTGTTGTTGCTCTTTTTCAGAGTTTAAATGTGCCTCATGGTCAAAGGCCCAAATGTGCCTTCCGTTTTTTTCCAGGAACAACGCTGAATCTGTTGAAATTTCCAATTATTAATCCTACGTGTGACAGGATATTCCGAAGGCAGGAGAGGCTGAAAGAGGAGGCAGCAAAAACAGAAGATCAGCTAAGCAGTGAAGAAAAGAAGCTCCTAAATAACCTTAAAAAGCAAGGTTACTTAGTGGGTGAGTATTGTCTGAATAAAGGTATTGCCCCTCTGTCTCAATGAAAATAGTTAATTACACAGAGGACTTGTTAACTCTTTAACCTCCTGTAGAATCCGGTTGGTTTTGTCAAGTACTTTCTCCCCACTCTGAACCCATTCCCATTTAATTACAGAATCACAGAATGGTTTGAGTTGGCAGGGGCCTCAAAGATCATCTAGTTCCAGCCCCGCTGCCATTGACAGGTACATCTTCCACTGGCCCAGGTTGCTCTAAGGTCATCCAGCTTAGCTTTGGACACTGCCACGGATGGGGCGTACACATTATTATGTATTTATTTTTCAGAAATAAGACCTATATTTGGTACAGGAGTTGCAGGAAGTACTGCTATGTAGTAGCAATTAAAAATTTTCCAAACTTGCATTCAAGTTATTTTTATCAGTTTTTGTTCTCTGAGTAATTGAGTGCTGGATCACCAGCTCCTCCGTAAGAGGAATCGTTAGTATTTCTTTTGAGTACTTATTTTTCAGCTATTGTTTCAGTAGCATTGCAGAGGTTTCCTCAGTTCAGCACACCTACCATCAGCATGTGCTAAGCTGCTGAGCTATTTTGGCTGTGGGTCACAGTGGTTGTACATCATTTTAGTATGTATCCAAAAGCGGGGGTTGCCAGAAGATAGCCCTGATTTTTCAAATAATGCTGTGTTTGACAGTCTGAGGCACACTAAAAAGAAGGCAGCCTGCTTTACTCTAAAATAATGGAGAGCTTGTGACCTGCTAAGGTCTGGGGCTTGAGAAATGCAAAGCAAGAATTATAGAAGGGATTTCCTTCGAGCACACAAGTTTATAGCCACACAAGTCTTTATTACCTTCATATTACTGATGTGCATCCCTTTTAAGCAAGGGAAGGGACAGATGTCCTGTTGAAAGAAAGGCAAGTTAATAAATTAATTACAAGGAACCTTTCATTTTAATCCAGGAAGAGTTGGAAGAACGTTTGAACGGCAGAAGTCTAGTGTGATTGACTTTGACCCTGACATGCTCTCCTACAGCATAGATGAAGATCCCAAACCTGCTTCTAAGAAGCGTGAGCAAAGGGAGGAGTTCACATACAATGAAGTGAAGGATGCTCGCTGGTGTTACGACACTCCAGGGATTGTAAAGGAAAATTGTGTATGTACTCTGCAGTGCCGTGTTTTGGAATGACAGGGTTTGGGAAGACTGTTCTGCCTTCATTGTGTGTGTGGGAGAGTTTTTCTGCTGCAGTCCTGGGGTTAGGATTCTTTTGGTTTGAACAATTGTATTAAAATATGGTTTGTATTTACTTGGGGAGGGTTCACTGTGTTAGTGCCATTGCATTTCTGAGTTGTGCATACTGTGATCTTTCCAAAGGGACTGTATGACTGTATCATCAAACTTTCTTAACTTCTGAATGACAGGAAGTAAGCAATAGTGCTGTAAGCAGGTTTATACCTGCATCACCTGATGAAGTCTGCACTTCTTTAGCTCTGCCAGCCTACTTGAAAAGGTGGAACTTAGGAGAAAAAACTGTTGTGTGACTGAACCAGATCGTTGAGAAAGCATTGTCCTGAAGCTACCAGGATCTGCAGTGTTCCTGTTAGTAGCTCCAATGCATCAGGCCTACCCCTGTGCTCTGAAGTCAGTGCTGATATAATGCACACATCCAAAAAAGCCTTGTTCTGATTTTTGTTTGCTGTGATATATATGCAGAGCTGCAGGTCATCTTTTTGAGAAGAAGTACAAGAAGACAGAAAAGCTCTTAAGAGAATGAAGTGCAGGAACTCTGCTGAGACTGCACAGCTCATACAGATGCTGCTTTCATGAACACTAGAAAACTGCTGGTTGTCTGGTAGATGTATTTGCCAGATCATAACCCACTTTACTATGGAAATTTGCTCTAGGTAGTGTAAAGGCAATCATCAGATTAGAGATCTGGTTTGGTAGCTGGAGATGGGATATGTTCTTCTCCTCTGGAGTTGAATAAATATGAGGAAAAAAAGGGGCTTTCTTGAATCCAGAAATACTTGCTGCCATTTCTGATTTTGATTATCCTTGCTGTGCTTTTTGAAGAGCTACATGCCATGTTTCAGATCAGTTTTTGTTCCTGCAGTCAGTGTTTGATCTAAGTAGAAGACAAGCAGATTGCCAGGATCTGCCACATAGACGGGCAGTTATGAGCAGGCTTGGGGTTTTAATACTATTTTGGAAGAAGAAGGAAGGAAAGTGGCTGTTGGCATATGGTGGAATTATAATTTGTCCATAATCCTTGGAGCTTTGAGGGTTTTTTAGCTGCTTCCTCATGACTCCTTCCAAAGCCAGATTTCTGGGAAACCTACAAAAGGATTACTGATGACTCAGATTTTGGTATAAGCATTGTCAAACACATGAGAAAGCCTGCACCAAGTAGGGCAAAGTGTCCTTGTCTCATAGAAGTTGGTGTTGAAGTCTGTTGGCTTTGAAGCTAAAGGTTATCTGCTTCTGAACTCAGGAAATGCATTAGGGGATCTGGCTGCACCTTGTGCAGTGTTTTAATGGTGAATTGGTTAATCCTCAATACTGGGTTGTTGCAAACTTGTATTTGCATGACTGTGGCATTGGAGGAGGGGCCCAGCTGAAAGCATTTCTGCTCTTAGTTCCTGTGTTCAGGAAAGAGACATCATCAATGTGGAGGCAAGTTGTTTCCCTCAAGGCACTGCTTCCTGGGCTTGCACATTGTTTCATAGCTGTGTTTGAACAGTGCTTCTGTAGAAAGTGATCAGACCACTGTGGCTAGAGCACTGCTAGTTAAGTCACTGGCTTTTAAGCAGACTTTGGGATGGATCCTTTAACTGAAACAAGTTTGCACCTAAACAGATGAGCCAGTTAAGCCAGGAGAAGGAAAGGAAGGGGCAGGAGAGGACGACAGGGAGCATGAGCATTTGGGAGCCCTCATAGAGAGGAGAGCTTGCTTCACTGTGCTTAGAGTAGGGATCCATGCTGTGTGACAGGCTCTCATACTGCAGTTTTCATTGTTTCACAGTGTGATCCGGCACTTTTCTCTCAGTGCAATATTTGAGGCTAGCTTTGCTGCTAGTATTGATTCAGCACTTTGCATCACTACCTAAGTGAAGTAATTCAAATATCATAGCCAAAGGTGGTCTCCAGCTCTCCACGCGGCTCCACTCATGCCATAAAAGCATAGTAAATCCTGGGTGAGCTTGTTCCAGCGAGACCCAGGATTCCCAAACCTGTGATCAACAGGCTTCTGGCAGCTGTTATAATTCATTGTGGACCCTTGCATTGCCATGAAGATTGGTGACATGCCTGCCTCCTCCTCTTTCCTAGTTAATGTGTGAACCAGAACTGAACTGTTCTGTTAAATGTTCTTCACACTGCTCTACCTGATCTTTTTCCCTTCTCAATATAACATCAGTATTAATTTCCTTATGCCCATTGGAACATGTGGAATGAGTTACAGTGGTACGATTTATTTTGCAGGTTTTAAATCTCCTGACAGATAAAGAAGTAAAGCTGGTTTTGCCCACAAGCGCCATTGTTCCGCGGACCTTCATTCTCAAGCCAGGAATGGCCTTGTTTTTAGCAGCCTTGGGACGTATAGACTACTTAGAGGTAAGCGAAGAAAGGATTTTGTGAGCTGCTGCTTCATCACTTATTACAGTAACAGAGGATAAAAGGTTTTCTAGGTAGCCTTCCCAGACCCTTTTTTTGCTGCTTTTGAGATTAGAAATCAGTTAGAAAAGAAATCTGTTAGAAAAGCACCATGTAAATTCAGAAAATCAAAGAATAGTTTAGGTTGGAAGGGTCCTTCAAAGGTCATCTGTTCCAGCCCCCTTGCAATAAGCAGGGACATCTTCAACTAGATCAGGCTGCTGGGAACCACATCTAGCCTGTCTTTGAATATCTCCAGGGATGGAGCATCCACTGCCACACTAGGCAACCTGTGCCAGTGTTTTACCACCTTCACTGTAAAGAATTTCTTCCTCATGTCCAGCCTGAATCTCCCCTTTTAGTTTAAAATTATTACCCATCATCCTATCCCAACAGGCACTGCTGAAGTCTCTCCACATCTTTCTTATAGGCCCCTTTCAAATATTGAAAGGCTGCAATAAGGTCTCCCCAGAGTCTTTTCTTCTCCAGGCTGAACAAGCCCAACTCTTTCAGCCTTTCCTCATAGGAGGGGTGCTCCAGCCCTCTGGTCGTGTTTTGTGGCCTCCTCTGGACCATCTCAAGCAGGTCCATGTCTTTCCTGTGCTGAGGACTCCAGAGCTGGACGCATTACTGCAGGTGGGGTCTCACCAGAGCAGAGTAGAGGGGCACAGAATCAACAGTGTACCAGTATGGCAGAGGAGCTCCATCGTAGTTGAGAATCCAGAGCAGCATCTTGAGAAACAGCTTGGCAATACAGAGAAGTAATGCCTCAAGAAAAGTGTGAGGATGGCAACCCAGCAGAAAGGAACTCTCTTTATTCATACTGTCTTGGGCAGAGCTCTCAGAAAAGAACCTTCTAGGTATGTTGGTTGGGCTCTGTCAGGGATTCAAGAAACACCTGGGTTTGTGTACCTTGACAAAGTAGGACAGCAATGCAGGTGACATTTTGCTGGCAGTAAATACCGTCTGCAATATCAGGCAGCCCCAGGGCTGCCACAGGGCATTGTTTGTCATGATGGATGACTTTGGAGAACCTAGCTGGTGTTGTCATGGTAAAGAAGTGTCACACCATCTCCTGACGAGAGGATCAGGCTTGGAGACACGTCCAGTGCAGCAGGGCTGGCAGGTAGGCTTCATGCTATAAGCCTGTTTTCTATGTAACAGTGCTCCTAGCAAGCTGAGCTATGCACATTTAGGGCCCGAGAGGTCTTTCATATCTGTCTCAGTCCACTGTAGTATCAGTCTCGTGTGTCTACATCCTCCAGAGAAGGAAGATGCTTGTGCTCAGGTCATGACAGAGGAACCCCAGCATCAGATCAGATTAGATCTCAAGAATTTTTGCACTTGGGTTTCCTTATTTCAGGCTGCTAGCAGTGTTTGTAGAGGTTGGTCCTCTTTCTAACCTTGTTTTCTCTGCATGCAGAAGTTATGAGAGTGCCTGCAGAAATTGCCTCACGTTCAATTTTTGCATAGCTTGAGAGCAGCTTGGAACTTCAATGGGAGTTGCCTGTTAGAAATGTAAAGTGGTGGGAGAAGAGGCACTACACAGAATTTGTCCCTCAGCTCTCATGCTGAATAACCACACTGAACTTGTTCTTGGGAATTAAGAGCAAAGATCTCTTGGATGGTGAGCTAAGCAGATGTGTGGCAGGGGATCTGATACTGGGCGTGCTTTGAGGCAGGGTGATGAAGCTGTGGTTACTTCTCTCCTAGGAGCTCAGCTCCCCTCTTTATATAAACTTTCTTCTCTGCAGTGACAGAGGCAAAAGCCCAGGCCAAGGAGGGGGCATCAGTCATACAGGTTGTCAACATGCAGGAGTGAGCAATTCAGGGCTGCTTTTCTGTTACCATAAGTAACATTCTCTTCTTGTTTCTTAGGGAGAAAAGTCTGCCTGGTTTTCTGTCGTGGCTTCTAACCTGTTGCCAGTCCACGTTACTTCCCTGAGTAATGCAGATGCCATCTACAAGAAGCATGCTGGCCACGAGTTACTAAAGGTAAGAGGAGGTGCTGTGGTGAGCTCTTGGTTGCAGATAGGCAGGCTGTCCCACCTGGTGCAGCGCCCTGCCTGGAGCACAGCTGATAAGGAAAAGCAGCCTGTGTCAAGAGTTTGGGCTTCAGCAGTGCGTAAGTGAAGATCTGCAGTGTGGAGCCGTCCTGCACAGACTGCATGGCTGCAGCTTATTTAGGAGACAACACCCAAGATGATACATTTTCAGCAGAGCTCTTGTTTCTAGCATTCAGGCTGTTAAGTTTTGCAGTGCTCTGCTCTCTGATGCTTGCCTTTTCTTGAGCAGCCTTAAAGTACAGGCAGCTACAGGGACATTTTCCATGGCAAACTTCAGGCTGGGGTTTCAGAACAGATTGCAGTTGGAAAATGTACCTTTCTTACTCTTTCACCACTGGATCCTCTGCACATGCTTTCATTTTTGATGGTGTGGCTTTTTCCTTGGTATATGCCACATACTGTGTAGCATTTGCAGATTGATGGAGAATGGGGTGAACTGTCCTTGTGGGGTGAGCTCCAACCCTGTGCACATTGAGAACAAGTGCTGTCACTCACGTCAAGGCTGAGTCCTGCAGTGGGCACTCCACCTTTGTACCTCTGGGCTCCCACTGGGTTGCTGAGGGTGTGATCTTGATTCTGTTCTTGGCAAACCTGAAATAACACTTGTAGGGTATTCAAGCCAGTTGTTACTTGGCTGACAGTGGTCTGTTATCTTTATTCCCACCTGTGTCTTGCTTACCAGTTTAAGGCAGGAGTGCTGGAGTGCCTCTTGACTGTTAAATCTTTTCTCTGTGTTTTGATCTTAGGTTCCTATGGGTGGGGAAGAGCGAATGAAAGAGTTCCCTCCCCTTATCCCCGAGGACATTACACTGAAAGGAATTGGTACGACTGAGGCAGTCGCAGATATCAAACTTTCTTCTGCAGGTAATTTAGTATTTCTTCATTAGTTCACTTTGCAGGGTCTGCATCCTAGAAACGTGGATGGGAAGAGGCCTGTGAAGGGATGAAGCAGTACTTCCTGCTCAGAGCAGGACTTTCACCAACACAAAATCAGGGCAGCTATGACTGTCCAGCTGAAGCTTGGTAGCCTCGGGGAAGGAGATTGACAGCCATGCTTGTACAGGATGACCACATTGGAATGCTTTATGTCTGGCTGCCATACACGTTCCACAGCATCAGGAATGGCTGTGACACTTCTGGCTGTCCAGGTGAGAGGGAAAGGACCATGGATTGGAAAGCGTCACTATTGTGGTGGTGGTAGTTCCCACCACAGAAAAGAGCTGTGTCTGGGGAGAGTAAGATGTGGCTTTGAGTGCTGCCTTCTATAGGGAAAGGGCTGGTATAACCTTTGAGCCTGGTTTCTCAAAGTCACACCTGGGTAGCTCAGGGTCTTGGACATCATGGGAGGCAGCGAGTTTGTGTCAGAACCGTCATTCTGATCCTAGAACTTTTCTCACTGACTGAGTGTTCTTCTTGGCTGTGCAGGTTGGGTTGCAGTGACAGCTCACCCGGAAGAGAAACTGTTGCTCCGAGCCTATACTCCCCAGGGTACCACGTTGGTGGTGCGGGAGCCTCCCCTTCTGCCATACATCAGCACCATCAGAGGGTCACGGATCCCACGCACTGCTGCTTATAGGACCAAAAAACCTCCCTCCCTGGTGGAAAACCTGAAAACCACAGGGAGAAGATAGCATTGCTCATCATCTGAGCAAGGTAGAAGACAGAACATCCTCTGGAGAACCTTGTTGCTTGTTGATATTCAGGACTCCTTTTTAAAGGCAGATAGGCATGGTTTTGGAAGCAGGCCTGGAGGGATCTCCACAAGTCCACACTTGATTCATCTGCTGAACTGCAGCCATTTTGCATCAGTTAAGTGGCTGGTACCTTGCTGTGAGAGGTGAAACAGCTGCTCCTTGGGAACTGCCTTTCCGAAGTGGAAAGGGGTGGAGAGAGTGGGGAGGAGCAGGGAATGCTGTAGTGTGGGTATGACCCGCCTAGTGGCTGATAGTAATTTGACAACATCAACCAAAAATCAGGTCCTTCCACATCTGGGGCAAGTGCAGCACCCTGCTTTTGGACACTGGAAAGATGAATTAATTAAAAGCAGGTCTGATCATATGCCTGAAGAGGAAACTTTTGCAACTCACTGCTTCACTTGGTTTCTGTAGCTTGTGTAAAGGTTTCTGAAACTGAGGGTGTAGAATAAAACTTTTCAAGGACACTTTCTCCCTTGTATCCTTTTCAAATTTCTGACAAAGCACTCTTATGTGGGCATAAGCATCCTGCTAACAACAGCCCCAGTAGGAAGGCTGATGTTAGAGGAGAGCATATCATGCCAGGGCTGAGAGCCAAAGAGAGGTCAGGCTGCTGCAGCTCCATGCTGTCAGGTCCAGCCACTAAAGGCTGAAGTGCTTTCCCAGGAGGCACGGAGCACACATACCACATACATATACACTGCTGGCCACACACATCATAGACACAGCCCTTAATGCAAACACAGCATCACGAGCCTGTATGCACAAGTGATGTGCACACAGCTGCTGGGCTAAACATTCAAGTGACACTGCTTTCCCAGTTGCTAGTATCTGAAGATGTGAGCCCCTGAGGCCTCAGTTCCACTCCACTTTGTGGTACACAGTCTTGCTACAGCCACACAGCTGGCCAGGACACCTGGTTGTGCTGCTTTGTACTCCCCCAGAACAAACTGAATGCTCTGACACCCTGAGCTGGCCCTTAAAGACCCCCACACCCCTGTTCTCCCAGGCCATTTCATCATTTCTCCAGCTTCACTAGCTGTGGTTAGATGCATGGTTTCACTCCAGTTGCTGCCCTGAAACCTCAGGGTCAGACCCGTTTCATTAGTGATCCCAAGACTGAAATTAAGATGCAAACGAGATCAAGTACCATAATCGATCAGTTGGTTTATTACAAAAAGACAATATAACAAAATAAATTATTGTAAAAAAAAAAATAACAGCAATAAGATTGGAAAAAAAAAGAGAAATGAAGCAAGAATTCGGTGTGCAGAGAGAGTCACCATCATGGATCCAGTAGTGTCCTGGGGGGACATAAGTCCTCAGGGAGGTGGTGGGAGTCATCCAAGGTTCGTAGTCAGTATTAGAGCAGTGTCCCCAAGAGTCTGTAGTAGTTGGTGTCCTCATGGAGGTGTCCTTCATGGTGATTACCTTTTACTCCTTACATTATTATGAGCTGGGGGTAGTACCTCTGTTCTTAATGTCAGGTACTACACGTTCCTGGTGGACCAGTTTCTCTGGCCTTGCAGCCAGCTCTGCAACTGCACTTGTTTGCAGCAATTCTTGGGATAATGGGCAGAAATTCTTCACACCAGTCCTCAAGATAAGGGGCTCCTCCCACCCATCTCTCAGGCAATTGACAGTGGAGTCCCATTTCAGTTCCTCATACCCTTCTCTCGGGCAGTGGAGCTGGGGCCTTACCTCAACTCCTCCCACCCATCCCTGAGACAGTAGTTAGTGGAATCCCATCTCAGCTTCTCATACTAGTCTGTGAGACAATGGAGGGTGGAGTTTGATTTCAGTTCAGTCTCACACACCCTCTCATCCCCATATGCACACATGGACAGGGAATACAGAGCCCTCACTCAGGAAGGTTAAATTTAGTAAGGATACGGGACAAAATGTGCTGATAAGATACAGGGCATGGCCAGACAAGTGTACCAACTAGCTGACTATTTACACAGAAGTAGCCCTCTTTATCCCCTTACCCTCTATTTTGTACACTTGTTCCCCAAAACACCTAAATCCTCCCTTTTCTCCTCCTGAAAAAAGTCCTGTGCAATCTCAAACTACTCTTCCCCTGCATTCCATGGCGTGTCCCACGTCCTCAGACAGCAATTCTCTTTAGCCCAAAAGGTGATGTGGAGAGCTTCATGATACACAGGCTCACAGCATGGCGGAGGTTGAAGGATCCTCTTGAGGTCCTCTGGTCCAGTGCCCTGCTCAAGCAGGGCCACCTTGAGCAGCCTGCCCAGTACTGTGTCTAGATGGATTTTACTATCTCGGAGGATGGAGACAAGCTCCCTGTTAGCCTGTGCCCCTGCTCTCACCCTCACAGTAAAAGAGTGTTTCAGTTTGTGCCCATTGCCTCAGGCCCTATCATACAATCATAGAATGGTTTGGGTTGGAAAGGACCTTAATATCAGCTAGTTCCAACCCCCCTGCAGGGACACCTCACACTTTCAAGACCCTGGCTCCATCCTCTTTACACCCTCCTTTTGGGTGTTCATGATGACATTTCCTCAAAGACAAAGACTTGTGGTGATGGGTTTTGCTCCTGGACAAGAGCTGCTAAGGGCTCTGAAAGGGGCTCATTCATTCTTCACAAGTCCTTCAGTTCCTGGCTTCCCTTGTGCCCCTGTGCAGGTCTAGGCTTGTGCAAATGAGCCTTTGACGGGCTGATGACAGTGATGATGGTCGTGAGAGGGTGTTATTTGGGCTCCCCCTCCCACCTCCATGTCTGTGTGCTCCTTTGGGCCTGGGCTGCTTTATCACAGAATCCCAGAATCCCAAACTGGTTTGGTTTGGAAGGGACCTTAAACGTTATCCACTTCCAACCCCCTCTGCCATGGGCAGGGACACCTTCCACTAGACCAGGCTGTTCAAAGCCCCGTTCAACCAGGCCCTGAAAGCTTCTAGGGATGGGGCAGCAGCAGCTTCTCTGGGCAGCCTGTGCCAGTGCTTCACCAACCTCACAGGGAAGAACTTTTTCCTAATACCTAATCTAAATCTCCCCTCTTTCAGTTTAAAGCCATTCCCCCTTGTCCTGTTACTCCATGCCCTTGTAAAAAGCCCCTCTCCAGATCTCTTGTTGGCTCCCTTTAGGTACTGGAAGGCTGCTATAAGGTGTCCCCAGAGCCTTCTCTTCTCCCAACAACCCCAACTCTCTTAGCCTGTCTTCATGGAAGAGGCTCCAGCCCCTGCATCATCTGCATGGCTGCCTCTGGGCTTGTTTGAGCAGGTCTATGTTTCAGTTTGGATGATGTTTAAAAATGCCTCTTCCGGCCTGCACTGCAGCTATGTTTAGACATTTCCACAGGGCCAGCATGCAGAAACCCGTCACCAGCCCCATCTTGCTGCCTAAAATGTCCCTTCCAGACAGAGCTAACCAAAGACTGCCTGTTTCACTCATGCTGTCACACAGATACATAAAGTTTTGTGCTTTGAGGAGAACCTGTCTCATGCCAGTAACAGGATTTAACAGGGAGGTAGATAAAAGCATGAAGGAGAAGCTTGCACTTCCTCTTTAGCTGGGGTTATGTGGAGCAGTCATAGAATCATAGAATAGTTAGGGTTGGAAAGGACCTTAACGTCATCTAGTTCCAACCCCCCTGTCCTAGGAAAGCAGGCCTGGAAAAAGCTAAACCGGGAGGCAGGAAAAGGGTCTGGCTGTGGTCTGTTCAAACCAGCTTGACAAATCCAAACCAGGCGTTCCCTGTAACATTCCTCTGCTGCTGTATGTCTGGAAACACACAACATGAAAGGCAAACAGCTCTGCGTGCAGAAAGACATGCCTGTGTTACAGCGGTGGTCCTCAGCCCAGGGGCTGGGCGTGAGGAACTGCAGCCAAGGCAAGTGTTTGGTGAAGCAGGTCCCGTGGTCTAGGGGCAGCCTTTCTACAAACACAGCTGGGCTGCACGTGGGCTGATGGAGGTGGACAAAAAGGACAAAAAGGGGGATGTGCATGCATGCCTTCCATGCCCGGTGTCCTTCTGGGTCCAGCCCAGAGGCACAAGCGGTGCGCTGGGGCAGTGCGGGGCTTGGTGCTAGGCTGGGATTGTAGGGCCTTTGCAAAGGCTGTGCTGTGCCATGAGAGCCCCAGCTGGGGATGAAAATGTGTGCCCCTGACAGATGCTAAACATCAGCATGCAGAACGTTGTAATGTGGAAGCAGTTAGTTCCTGAATGAAAGCACAGACGTGCCTTTTATGAGCTCCCAGGCCTGAATTACACCGGAGCTGAAGAGCTGCTCGGAAATGCTTCTCAAAGGGAGGGTTCGTGTCTGGTTTATGCCAGACAGCCTGAAAGGTAACACAGTTTTTACCATGCCTGTGGACAGCAGCCAATTTAATCTCAGCACAGCAGCCAAAAGCAAAGGTGGTTTGAGTCTGTGCAGAACTGAGGCATAAGGAGAGGGCTAGAGAGGATCAGCCCTGGGAAGGCCTGCTCTTTGTGGGTGTCTCAGTGTACACTAGCAGGGTGCAGTTACTTATGGCTGCTCCAGCAGTGTGTTCAGCAGAACCATCCGCACAAAAACACAGCTTATGGCTTTGGATGCAGTAGTTAAAATCCAGGCAAAGACATACAGAGGGGCAGATTTTGGTGTATTCAGCTAAGGCTGGCTGGAGTTGCCTTTGAGCCTGTGCGTTGCAGCACCCAGGGGTGTTGGTGTACCTGGATGGGGTACTCCTTGATGTCCTGGCAGAGCCCAGTGCTGGGTTGGAGTGGGGCAGTGTGGTGTGGGGACTGCATCTCCCTGCAACCCTGAGCAGGGACGTGCCGTTTGGCACACACCCTGTGTGGTGCCAGCTCACAGAGAAGCTTCCTTTTCCTGCCCAGTGGCTATTCCCTGTCAGAGCTGCTCACGGCAGGGACTCCCAGCCCAGGAACATGGCCACTGCTTTTCATGGCAAGAGCAGAACAAGTCCCATGCTGCTACCTTTAACGCTCCGAAAACAGACTCTAATGTGCAAAGAGGCGCATAGGGCAGGGAATCTAATGAACTGAAAGGTTCAAACATTTGCTTCCCACTGATTTTCCTGTGATTCGCAGCTTGCAATTGCTGTATACTCCCTTCATCAACAACTGCCCTCAGTGATCTTGTAGCTAAACTGCTGGGGTTGCCCAACATGACTTGATGGCGGGTCCATGCCCTGGCAGCACATTGCACCATCCTGGTGGTTCCTCCGGTGGCCGAGGAGGGCTGTGCCTCTGCAGGCCAGCCAGTAGCATCCTGCAGCACCAGGGGAAATTATTGACCAGCTGCTGTCGAGAATGAGCAGGTGGTAATTTCCCGTGTCACACATTGGGTGCCATGGTGTGGCTGTGGCTGCATCTGGGAATTATTCTGTGCCTCAGGTCCCTGGTCCAGCCTCACCAGGCAGCACTGAGTCAAGAAGAAAAAGGGGAAAAAGGGAAAAAAGCCCTCAAACCATCAGGGTTAGTCTGGCCGGCTCTGAGCGGGACCAGGG